CGTCTAGCGCTTGGAAATACTTTGAGACTCGCAAAGCTGGGGAAATGCCAGCAAGTATAATGCAAACTGCAGGAAAATGCTCACTCTTTTCTATGCTTTGTACAGCCTGGGAATGGTAACAAAGGTAGAGTTTGCTCCTGTTAATTTACTGCAGGGGCATAGTAAGTAATTGTTAGGAAAATTTAAATATTAATACATTCATTCAAAAATCCAAAAAATGATAGTTTTTGTAACTTGAGCCAAAAGCAGTCGTTACTTGTTAAAGTAGTGGTTTTAAAGTATCTGTGTAGGAGGCTGATGCTGAATCTTGTCTGCAAAAGTGTCTGGTCTAAAATAATTTGTATTTGTGCAGAACATTTTACAGAATTTCACATCTAGGATGGCAGATTGCTAACATACATGTAACAGGCAAGATCAGACAGTTGTGTGAAGTTGGGTAGAAGCCATGTTTCTTTGCTTGGGAATCTTGTGATACACTCCCAGTGTCTTAGTGCAGAAAGAAGTGATTGTTTTACAGCTGACTTCAGTAAACCTTCATTTTATTAATTCGATTTGCGTGCATTATTTGACAAGTACTTGCTGTATGGTTTTGTCAGTGTTGGTGAGTAAAACTTTTCCTGTTTGCTCCCAAATAGTCCACTGTCTATGGTTATAATCAGATCACAGGAGAAGTTCCTACATGCATATAATTTTTATGGAATTGACTGCACTTCTAGCATTAGGAGGTCAGAACAAATATTTTTGTCATAATTATATCTGGCATTATCTGTTAAAAACGTGGCAATGGCAAGATCAGTTCTGTTGGAAAATGAAAGATTTTTGTTGATTAAAAGTCTGTAGAAAAGCATTATGAAAATGATTTTTGTTACTACTGAAGTTTGCAGATAACAGTATCCTGTGTTTCACTGTAAGAAATATTTCTGTGGCCAAAATGAACAAATAAATCCTGATACTATTCCATTTTTCCTTTTTTTTTTTTTCTTTTCTAAATTCAGCAATCTTGAGTGATAGGCAAGTAGGATGAATTGATCAAATACAGGAACACTTACTGACACTGACATTTTCAAAACACAGTAGTTAAGATTTTTTTTTGGTACTAAATGCTTGTATCTGCCTCTACAGTGAGGCTTGGTACACATGATTTGGGGTTCTGTTCACTTGTGTTATCAGACAGAAAAATCTATACAGGATTAAATGATGAAAAGGTCAATCAAGTATTTAGATATATATGTAGTGTGAAGCAACAAAACCAGTTATAACCACCTGCTCTTGGTTTTCATTGAGGTAGAAGTCTGAATGTGGGAGGGGAAAAGAGGTGGCTGAGGAAGCTTTTTTTTCACATCTCAGCCATTGGGAGAATCTTTGGCTGTGCTCATCTGGGCCTGACTTTAGCACTTAAGGTAATTTATCTAAGCATCGCTTGTAAATTGTGGAGTTCATGAAGAGGAAGGAATTCCCTGCCTGGTTTGCGCGTGCAGTCAGTCAATATGTGTAAACCCCTGCTTCTAAACAGTATCATTAGCAAATCTGGTCTATTTTCAATCCTACCGATAACCACTGAGTATTTTAAGCTCAGGAGATAAGTCTGTACTATCTGAAATGATGCAGTTTTTCATCATTTCCTCCCTCCAGAGTGAAAAACACCATCAGACATGCTTATTTATTTTTTTTTTAATGGTCAGTACCATAAGTGTGTGTTTTGAGAGAAGTCATCAACTTTATTATTTCATCAGGTTATTAAAAAAGGTTGATCTTATTTTTTTTCCCTCTGACACTGTTTTGTACCAGTGAAAGATAGATTAGTCAATTCTGGATACATGTGACTATTACAGCAAATATTTCCTTGAGGAAAAGCTTTAAATTTAAGAGTCTGCTTCACAGCATTCTTCAGGCACTTAAATTATTCTAGTCTGTAGAGTACTACTGAGTTCCTGGGTTGCCCAAACTTTTAGTGGATTTAATAACCTTTTATTAATCCTGTTGCTCCACTGGATTTAATGTATTTTGATACTGTAGTTTGGGAACTTGCTGCTGTGATGCTAACCACCAGAAAAAATTATCGTTACTTTGACCTTTGTAATTGGCACTCGTCAGTCCAGTATTGTGTCGTATTTTTGTCTTTCCGTTCTCTGAATGAAGAAGATTCTTAGTCATCATTCTCAGTATGACTTTAAACTGTTACGTGGAGCAGACTCAGAGTTATAATAGTAGAACTTCTGGATGTCTGTCTGGTCAGAAATGAGCCAGTTTACATCAGGTTATGCTGGACCTAATGAATTCTTAAGTAATTTCAGTTCTTAGATATAATACAGTTTCTAAGCAAAATTCATAAATAAAGAATAACTGAATTTGGCTTAAAATTTCCTAAATAAGTTGTGAACCTTGTAGTTGTTTGAATGTTGTCACTGAAGCAATAATTATGTTCTTGCTTCTGTTCATTTGTATGACATTTGAACAATATTACACAAGGTTTGGTACATGGGTAGCATTGCGACACACCTTACACCTTTAGCTTTGGGAAAAATCTTATTAAAACTCTGTAATTTTCCAGTTAAGTGGAGCTTAACTCTTTAAATACTGCTAGCATTAGAACAGACACCAAAAAAAAACCAACCAACCAAACAGAAGTTGAAGTTGTGGACACAAGTGGATATACACGTGAGAACGGAGCAAGCGTGTACTGCTGCTTCCCTGGTAACAACCTGAAGCTGAAGAAATGTTCTGAGCCAGACATGCGTCTTTATTTAATAACCCATGTGCAGATTTACTGCACCTGTCATATATTTCACTTGAAGCAGTTTTAGTATCTTTAACTACTGTGTATTAGTCACACATGCTGGTTTTGCTGCTCAGATGATCCCTGTTTGGACAGACAAAACTTAATATCTTTGAACGTTTGCTCCATCGCAGGGAGCTGATCCTCTCTCAAAAGGGTCTGATGCTGTGGAAGAAGAGTCTGGAATAGTCTTAATGTGTTCACTTACTAATTTGTTTTTAGTCACAACATTCCTGCTATGAAATCCTAAAGTGGATGGTTGTTCCCATTTCTTTGCAATGTCCACCTATAGATGTCATGTAAGAACATGAATGTTTAATGTTTATGCAGTATCTGTGTCGGCACTGCCACCATTTGTCATCTACATATTTTTAGTTTTCCATTTTCCTTAATAAACAATGTCCAGACTGTTTTTACTGTGGTTAATAGAGGTCTTTCCATCAAACCCATTCATAATGCCGTTGCTGTGTTTTCTTAGTGATGTGCCCCTTAAATGTTAGCAAGTTTACAAAACTGGGGACCTGAACAAATGCATTATTCAGTTCTAAAGAAAATTGCTTGGAACCTCTATCGTATTTAGCCCCTCTGATTAGACTTAGAAAAAATGAGCTGAGATTGAGACATGAGCTTTGACTGAAGAAGTGTGGGGATGCCCTGCTGTGCTGTATTTCTTTATTGCTGAAGTAGTTTCTTTTTGTCCAGATTGTCACTGGTCCTGTGGTGCAGGAACCTCTATTTGGTTTTCATATCCTATAGATGCAAAATACAGGATGTTTTTGTCTCTTGGCCAACTTGTGTATCTTGCTGATGAGTACTGGGGCCAATACAGAAAAACCCAAACAAACCAGAACCTTCCATTTTTCGTGGAGGTTTTTTAGATGAACGTGATCAAGAGCTGTGTATGACTGCAAAAACCACACTGATGATAAATGAGACACATTAAAAAGAATCTTCTGGTTATTGCCATATGTGATGGATAACCTAATTTAAAATGTGCTCTGCTAGGAAGCTGTTTTCACTGTAATTTGATACAGACTTGTGGGTAGTTGTTGTAGCTCATAGATACCTCCAGCACTTTCCTGTGTCTTTTTCTGCTGTCCTTGTGTAATGTTTTGCATATCTTGTTACAGTATCAAAGTTACTTTGAGTTCAGTAGTAATACTTTGACTTCAGTTGTTAACCATTGTTTGTTAACTGTTAACAGGAACTGTAAAAACTCATGGTTATGTATTCAGAGAAGAAACATAGGATTTAACTCTTGGTTTATTCTACCTTTATTGGACACTTCTTGTTTAAACCACATCAGTAAATACTGATTTGTAAAAATGATGATGGATAATGACAGTCCATCGTCACAGTATTTGACTTAATCCTCTTGTAGTACTACAGAGTCTGAGCTTCTAAGTTTCAGCTTTGTCTTCATCAAGGACCAGTCACTCCTCAGGTATACAGGCCAGCAGGTCAGGTGCCTCTGGCACATGGGAATGGATGTTAGTCATATTAGAAATCCTGGTAGTAACGTGTGCTGGTGGCACAGCAGAAAGGGGGGATTAGTAGTGGGATGCTACAAACTCTTAACAAATACCAAGTCTAGCAAATATGTTCCTGCATTTACACTTGAGTAATATTCTGTTCTGAGTTGCTGATCAGCACGTGCTGACAGTTAGCTGTGTAAAGCATATTTAAAAATGTTTGCTTTTTTCACGTGAAGATTGTTTGAGTATTGGCGGTATTTCGGTGGTTCTGTGGTACGTGGTTATGCTTAGGAGGTTGGACTTCTCTAGAAGTCTCTGCAGCACTGGTGTACAGGCGAGAGTGGCCCAATGCTTCTGGGAGACATGAGCTTTTCTGTGTATTGCTGTCTGGCTGCCTTGTCTGCACACAGCTCAGTAAGTCTGAGAACTGTCTTTTTCCTTGTGCATGTACCAAGTGCTGGATTTACTGAGCGTGAGCTGTGCTGTTTATTCTTTTGTACTACACCTGGGAAATCTATTGAGCGTCAGTTGATGTTCATTTTCACTTAAATAGGTTTTTTTATTTTAAGAAGGTACTTTAATGGCAGTGTTGTTTACCAAGAGTATTTGAGAGTATTATATGAATGGAGAACATCTTATGGCATATTTTAAAGTAAGCTAACCACTTTTTAAAGCAAAATATAATAGTCTGTCCTGATTTATTTTTCTTCCTCTGCATACCTGATTGAAAACTTTTTTTCTCTTCTCAGGCAGCTATAAATGGTGTAATACCACAAGAAAATGGCATTCTGCAAAGGTAAGCGCAGAGGGATGGAGTAGTACATACAGAGAGTGATGCTGCATAGTAGTTGCATTTTTGTTTCTGAATCCCAAGATGATGATATAATTTTCCTTTTAAAGCAGTTTTTGTGAGCCACAAATTCAATTCCTGACAAAGCTGATTTCAAAATCAATTTTTCCCATAGCGGTGAAGAACAAGCTCAACCATCTGTTTAAATTAATGATTTTTTATTTTATATTAATTAGGTCATTAACTGGTGGTAGATACAATGCTAGATAAAATAAAGTTGCTTCCTTCTACAAATAGCTTTACTGATTTCCTTTCAGTTTTTAAATTAAATTTTGGCTCATATATTGATGCTTGGATACCTTGGAGTCACTGAAGCATGATCTCCTAAGTGCTGATGAGGCAACTGAATACAACAGAACAGGAGTTGAGCTACTTGAGAGAGGCAGTTAAATATTATTTTTAATTTTGTTCAGGAAAATAGTCAAGGTACTGTTTTTAAAAGTTTATTTTAATGATTAAAGAAGATGCTTAGTGTAGGTGATGTTATGTTCTGGCATAAATGCCAATGCTCACTAAAGCTATTATTAAATAAATTGTTTTTTTGGATCAAGATAAAACCTTATTTGCTTGGTAAAATTACTAGATGTATATTCACTGTTAAGCCTGCATGATCTGATTGATCAAGTCTCTTCTGTGTCAAGTACTATTTCTACTTACATTAATAAGTCCTGACCTCAAAGCATTACAATTCAAAACACCAGAACATTTACAGCCATTTTGTCAGGGAGAAGGATTTGGGCAGCAGTTATACCAGACTTTGGTAACAGGTGGGTCTGATGTCCACTTAACGCAGCTTTCTTCATTAGGAAATTCTTTATTTGTAGAAGTGATGGGACATTAAAATGTATCTCAAGTCTTTTATTTTCCTTTTTTCTTTCCGTGGTAGAAGTTTAAAATTAGGCCTGGTAGACTTAGAAGCCTACCTTCCAGTGGCTTTCAGATGAGGTTGATTTACTGATTTGGATGCTTTTTAGTGGCTTTCTATGCTTCATTAGAGATTGCAAGTCAGATATGTAAAATACTTTTGGGGATGGAATGAAGTATATTTAATGCAGCTGAACTTGAAGTCAAGTTTTACTTTCTAGTTCAGTTGTGTTGTATTTAAATAAATAAATAAGTTCAGCTCCTGAGAATCAGAATATTCTTTGCTTCTGAGTTCTGCTAATGAAAATGATTACGGTACCAAGTTTTGGTTAGGCATCAAATTGAAAACAAAAACAAAAAACCCAAGAACAAACAAAAAGCCCAACAAACATATTGCTCAGTATTTAAACTTTTTTAAAGCTTGAAAAGAAGTATTCTCCCTTGTTTTACGAGCATAATACATGGTTGTTTTTTTTTAAAAAAATTTTATTTTCAAAAAAGGAAGTCACAATATTGTGGTATGCAATGGCTTGGTGCTATTTATTCCATCCACATTCATATTTTTTTTTCTAAGTTCAGTCTTTATAGGCTTGACTTGCGTAAGAAACATTTCCGTTGATCCAGAGATCTTATAGTATCTTCAGGAAGGAGAGTATGCATTTTTTTAAATAAATTCTGTTTAGGAATGGAAATGAGGCAAATTGCATCCCTGTATTTCTTAAATGCATGCTCAGCTTCCATTTTTTCAGTGCATTCATTTTATTAGCTTACATCCTCCCTCAGGGTACCCTGTTGGTGCCCAAGACACATAATCCTCTAAACAGAGAGCACTGTCTTACTGGTAAGAACGTCTACAATGTGAAGCCCTGTGAAGTGTCTCGCCAGCAAAACTTTATGTCAGTACATCATAATTTTCTTTGTCCTGGAGTTATGTTTCTTAAATTTAATGTTTTGTTACCTTTGGTTCTAATCTCAGTTACATGGTACTTTTATGAGAGGTTCACTGAGGAGGATGAGTTGTGCTTCTGGGTAATCTGGGTTTCCCAGTTTATTCTGACTTTTATTTTAAGCTTTACTTCTTATTCTAAATTGCATATGATGCTGGCCTAGTGATATAGAAAACTGGTGGTTGCCATGGTGCAAATTTTTATATGGTCACAGCACTCTTGGAACAGGAAATAATGCTGCTTCTCAAGATAAATCTGATGTTAATTACATAGTGAACTTGAGACTATCATAATTGCTTAAATACCTGTTTGTCTTCTAAGCTGCTTTGCTATAGCACTTCTGAGTCCTTGAAATATTAATGTTTTTAATATGAAAGTTAATTTCTAATTATGAACAAAAAAAGTATTTTCAGATATTACAGTGGAGTTTATTCCAGAGGCATGTGCTGTGGACAACAGTGAGTAATTCTGTTCACTTCACAAATCTTTATTTAAACATTATCAATTTGTTCATACTTTATCTATGTATCCTTCAGTGAGTACGGTGGAGAGACTTTACAAGGACCAGCATATGGCCCCACAAGTCATTCTACAGCAGCTTCTTCAGCTTCTTCATCTTCCTCAGCATTTCACCATGTAGTGCCATCTAGACAAATAGTGGAAAGACAACCTCGAATGCTTGACTTCAGGGTTGAATACAGAGACAGAAATGTGGATGTAGTACTTGAGGACAGCTCTACAGTGGGTAAGAATGTGTAAACCTGACATAACTGTTGAGGTAAAATTGTTAAAGTAAAATCAAACTAAAAAGACCCTGCTACCAAGATCTAAATCATATAGGGAAAAAAAACCCAAACCAACCAACAAAACCCCTCAAAAAATGTCCCACAAAGTGCAGTTTTCATAGCTTCTAACCATTTTCAAACCTCTTTGCAGCTCGAAAAAAGCAAAAATTTCACTAATCCATTGTAAAGGTTAGTGATCTATCAAATATTTATTTTGACATCTAGGTGTCTCATGGACTTACTTCATAAACAAAATGGAGATTACTGATTAAGTTGAGGCAAGAAAGTGTAATTTGCAGTGGGATTAGTGTAGATGCAGTCAAGTAATAAGTAGATCATCTTGGCATTTCCTTTTGAATCTCTATAGCATCATCCCTTTCTAAATAAGATTAGTGACACAATTCAGAGAATTCTTCTAAGTGTGAAAAGCATTGTAGCATCCTTCTTTTTATTTGTCTCTTTTTTGAGGAAATTAAGAGTTTTGTTATCAGACTTGATTGTTTTTATTCTAAATATGATGCATTTTGTACAAGTGTTTTAGTAACATGCTGTTCTTAGCATTGCAAGCATATTCTTTTTTATAATTCCCAACTGACTTAATTTACTCTTCCTAAGGAAAAACAGTACTATTTTTTTTTTTTTAAGACAATATGCAGATCAAAACAAATGAACATGTCGAGAAATAGCTGATTAAAAATTTGTTGAGCTGTCACTTTGTCTGTGATGAAATTTTGAAATTGAAACCTTGGGTCCTTGTTTTTCTTGTTAGTGTTTGATTTGGTATTTTTATGGTGCCACCTAGTGATGATCAGTCGAATTCTTGGTCAGCGTTACTTTGCTCGGTGTGGCACTGAGTTACATCCAAAGTAGATACAAGAGTGACCAAATCAGAATTTTTCAGCTATAGTAGGTGTAGTAGGCAATAGGTGTTTGTTTGTTTCTATTAGCTTCTTTCAGATACAGATGATTAAGTGACAGGGCAGAAGGTAGTCGGTGTAAAACTTCTGTGTTTCTTGGCGTATGAAGGTTGAAGGAAGCCTTGTTTAAAATCTTGAGAGAAGTGTGAAAGGTAAATCATAGAATTTCAACCATAAACATCAAGAAAGCACCTTTTTGGCTTGTTCAGGGATCTGCTTGTTAGAATCCCAGGTGAGGGCAGAGAGGCCTAATAGAGATGGTTGATCTTCAAGATGACCTCTTCAGAGCACAGGAACAGTCCATTTCAACATGAGGAGGAGCAGATGTGGCCAAAGGCCAGGATGGAGGAACAGAATGTGCAAAACACTGAAAAATCTGTCCGACCAGTCAAATATACAAACACTGCAGTTCCTTAAGTCCAGATAATTGATTGTGGAGCTGAGTATCAGAAATGCAGACTCACTTCATTTCTAGCAAAGTGCATAGCTCCAGATGGCATGTATCTGCAGATGTATGGTTCCAGCATATATCGTGTAGAGCTACTCAAATATTTGTCCAAATCACTGTATCCTCATGTGATTGTGTGAATCAGATTCTTGTTCTATGTGATTTTTTTTACTTTCATTTATTCTTTACTGTTTGAAATATGTGTCACAGTGATAACTTCACTAAAACTGGTTTTCACTGTACCTTTTCCTTATTTTTGGAAACAAAGAGATAAATGTGCATATTTTAAATATGAATTTCTTGACATTTTCTTCATTTTCTCTTCAGGAGATATCAAACATATTCTAGAAAATGAACTTCAGATTCCTGCAACTAAAATGCTGTTAAAGGGGTGGAAGACTGGAGATGTAGATGATAGTGTAAGTTTTCAGCTGTGTTTTCAGTCAACTGAATTCAGTGTTTCAAACTGAGGGTCTGAGGGTGGGAATGACAGTACAAGGTTTCTGAGTGTTAGATGTCTCAGGTGAAATCTCTACAAGGATCTCTTAAACTAAAAGCATTTTAAAAACATCAATGTATTATGCAGTGTTTTTAGATACAATGCAGCACACCTATAGAGTTGTTATTAAATTAACAGTAGATTTTAAAAATTTGCTGGTGTTGTGAAGAAGCTTTTATAATTAAAAGGAATAAAGTAAACTAATATGTCAAAATCAGCAAATGTTTTATATTTACAATTTTTTTTTTCTTCCTTCAGACTGTTTTAAAAACTCTACACTTGCCAAAAAATAATAGTCTTTATGTTCTAACACCTGACCTGCCTCCTCCTTCTTCAAGTCATTCTGGGTAAGTCTTTTGTCTATAGATTCTGCTTGTATGATTCTTTCTGTGTGTTTTCTATTAAACAGTTTGCATTCTTACAGGAATTTGCAATCAGTAAATGTGCAGTGTTTCACTGCTCTAAGATACAAGTGTAAAGATTAACTACCTCAGCACCTCACTGTTGAAAGAAGGTTGTTTTAAGAAAACTGTGGTGTAATACATACTGAGGTTCATGCAGCATTTTGCATCTTCAAGTTTTTATGACTTAATTTATTAAAATCTTGTCCCTGTGGAAATGAAAGCTGGTCTTTCATAGTTTATCACATTAGATTGATTCATAAACGAGTACAAATAGTTACCAGCAGATCAGAATTTTCTTTCTGAAGTGTCTGTTGCTTTATCATATCTTCTTGGACTTATAAAGCGTACAGTTAGAGCAATAATGTCCTCTAAGCAGGGTATCTTCTATTATTGATTTCAATACTCAGATGTTCACTAGTCAGTGAATATTGCAAAGGTTTGAAAATTAAATAGTTTTTATGGGAAATAGAATCGTTGTTGTTGTAATTTGTAGCCACTTTGCTTTAATTTATTTGTCTTATTTTCTACCCTGTCTATATATAGCTTCTCGAAGGTGGATTGGTGTGTATTCTTAATGGGAAAACATGAATTTTGTTCCGTGGCCACTAGAGGGTGCACTGTAATTGAGTGTGAAAGGAGTAGCTCTGATCCTCAATTGTCAAGCAAGCAGGAAAGATTGCAGTTTGAAATGATCAAATTGCATAATCAGGAGACTGGATTGCCTTCAAATTGTCTGAATTGCTTTTCTGCTGCTATAGTTAGATAGCAGAATATTCTACTAATGTGATGAAGGAAACAATCAATAGAAATAAACATAGTACTTAGGTCCACAACCCTGCATGCTGTGGAGGAAATAAGAAAGCTGATGTATATTATAAAAAAAAAAAAAAAAAAAAAGTAATAATTATTAATAAAACACAAGCATTAGAAGAGGGAATAATGGTAATGGAGCAGGAAGAGCTGGTTAGTACTGAGCTGTGATGTGAATTCAGTGTGCTGAAAGGAGTTGTAGTTGTGAGTAGGAACGATGGGATGTTATGCGTAACGAGCATATGCTAACTGAAGGATAGTGACAGTGCTGTGGAAAAACCATGTAGATGCTAACATTTTTCAACATGGATTCCTAGTATATTTTAATTTCAATGGAAATAAATGCTGATGATTTTAACTGAAATAAACTGTGTAACAGCAACAAACTGTTTAAAAGGAGTTCTCAGGCTTTCTTGTTGAACAGTTTAAAAGAACTTTACTTCCTAATAATATCACAGTAGGTGTTACCTTTACAGTTTATACTTGTTTCACAGAGGAGATGAGTTCTGCATATTTTTAGGATAAATTTGGTACCTTTGGGGATAGCAAATGATGATTAATTAGTGGCTACTTAAAGATAATTTGAAGGCTAGATCATCCCTTGGAGTCATAAATTCTAGATGAAAGGGGAGGCTTGCCTCCAATTAAAGCATCAATGCAGATCAAAACACATCTAATTGAAGCAATGTACAAAACCCAGTTACACTGTTTACTGCCTACTGCTAGGTCAGTTATTATTCAGATTAGTTTGGTACCCTCAATTTTTAAAAGCATGATGTTCTCATTTATTATTAATGGATGTTAAGGAACTTTGCCTCTTACTTTTCAACTTCATCTGTCATTTTCTTTAAATGCCTTCTATTTTGAAACATAGAAAAATAGCCATGATTTCAATATCTTCAGAAAGTGATATATGAGCAACCTGAGATTTCACTATGTGATGTTTTATGCATATGCCTTTTATAACAAAGTAGTCTAATCTCAGCTCTATAAACTCCAGTTTGTTTCTGTTCTTGATGCGCAGGGAGAATAAAGTTTGAGACATCTTTTTCCAGTGTGTTGGTATGTAGGCACTTGTGACAGACCCAGTGGCCTAAACCCGAAACTAAGTTAAACTGGCATCTAAGTGGAATAGTTTAAACAAGCAGAAATCTCATAGGGCATCTTCATTCATCAGTGGCATACCTAAAGCTTTCATAGGTAATAGAAACCCAGTGAATGACTACTGCATGTTAGGTGTGAAGATTAAATTGAAATGTCAAATACCACATGTGAGGTTGGCAAAGCCATACCTGTCCATGCACAGCATCTAGAACAAGACAACGTATTCTGTGAACAGTGGGTGTGGTGAAGCATGATTTCTAGTGAATTCCTACCTCATTCCAACAGCTTCAGTAACTCATCTCTCTCTCCATCTTCCCTTGATCTTGCTTACCTCTGGCAGTACTTCAGTTCCTCCAATACGTTCAGTAGCCCATATCATTTTTTTTCATCTGCTTAGACTGCCAGCCTGCCCTGCTTCTGTTCTGCAGATAGTTCTGTAACAGGTAATAGTGAATGACGAGAGATACCACATGCTGCAGTTACTTCTTGTGATCATTGTTCAGCAGTTGGCTGAATGTAAGAGGATTACACCCAATGTAATGTGGGTCCCTTTTCTCTATCCTGCTGTTGATTTATGCCCGGTATTTGAGTCCTTTGTGAGGCTGTCAGATTTCTCTGAGACTAATGAATATGTATAAATTTGCTGGATAAAACAAGTAAGAAAAACATTATTTGCTTTGGAAATCCATTTTAAAAAAGAAAGGTACCAATGAAGTCCATCATTCAGTTGTCCAAGGGAGCGATCCCTTGCACTTGCTTTGTTGGATTAGATTCTTCACTTCCATCCAGTGGTTTTTCTTACCTTTGTTGCCATGGGTACTTCTAGAAAGCTGGCTCTATTTAGTTCAGGAGAAAGGTTTGGGAGAATAGAATGCAATGGAGAGGAACATCAAAAGCGCAGGCATGCTGGTCTGGCCATGCAGGTAGGTTTTCCAGGTGGTCTTTCCTTTCAATTTGGTGTATTCTAAGAGGTGCTTCTTACCAAATAATTTTGTTACTGTCATTTCAATTAATAGCTTGACCAAGTGTACTCTAGGTCAGGTTGATGGTTGGACTTGGAGATCTTGAAGATTGTTTCCAACCTAGACAGTTTTAAGAATCTATATGTTGGAGGTGATTACAGTGATGTATTTCTTTGCTAAGTGATTGTAATTTATTTTAGAAATGTAATTGTTTGTGTGGATAGGAATAAAAATTATATATGCATGGCAAGTAATGGGTATGTATTTTGCTGAGTACGTGTTTTTTTAAATTGTTGCAGAGCAGTGATTATGGCACGGTGTTTTAGTGTATGTTATCAACTGTAGCAGAGTGTTAATTAAGAATGATGTAACCTGCAACTCCAATTATTAGTATTGTCTGTTTAGCTGGACAGGAGCAGTGCCTTGCTTTAGTTACTTTGAAAGCATCAATAAGGATGGTAAGATTAATGTTTTATTTTCACATCTGCTCATGAGACAGTTTAAAAATCCTGAAGTTTAAAATGCAATAGAATGTAAACAAAGGGACTTCTGCTCATTTACATGTTAGCCAGATCTGCTGATTGCTGTTTGAACCTAATCTACCATCTCTTGCTGCATTAGCTACAACAAACATTACATTTACATACTGATTTCTTATTTTGTTTTAATGTAAATAATCTGTAATTACAGTAAATTTGGACTTCTGTTGACATGAGCTTGTATAAATCCGTAAGTTTAAAATGGAAATGTTAATTACCTTGTGTCATGCCTACTTACACAAAATTCCGAGGTTTTGGAGAATTCTTGTGGCTGAGGAAGATACTGCTTACTAGGAAATTCTGAATGCATTTCATTTAAAAAAACAAAAACAAAACTGAACTGAAATGAGAAGGAATATTTGCTGATCACTGAGTAAGGATATACTTTTGGTTTCAAAGCTAAAAACATTACTAAAACTTCAAAGAAAAATGCAATTTAGAAAGCAAAGTATTAAACCAGTGTTAAATGAAGGCATCAAATCGGTCATTTAACAATGGATACAACAATTTATTTTATTTATTAAGCATTTCAGCACAATGAGAAGTAGAAGCTTAAAATGCAAACACCACTACTGATGTCATCTTTCTTCAGCATTGTGTAGACTGAACAGTTGCTGTCCCCTTAAGTCTAGCATTATTTGCAGCTAAACATTTTTAGGCTAAATATTGTTTCTTTTCATGTATTAGACTTGCTGTTTATAAATTTTGCTGTATTAGAATTCAGATGGAGAGCTTGTAAATAAACTCATTAGTGATTTTTAATCCTGTTATTTGAGTGAGTGAAAAAATTTCTTGCAACTTCAAACTTGAAATTTCAGCTTTAAAGAGGAACATTTTTGTTTGCACATCGTGCATTTTCAACCCTGACTGAATCTTGGTCCATCACTGAGGTTCCTGCTCATTGTGATGATGCTGATAACCAGTGCTATAAGGGCAATCCATATGCAATCCTAAACTGATGCAGGTTTCTCTTGCTAAATCTGATGAGAATAAGGACTATTTTCTTTTGCCTGTTCTCAGACTTGCTTCTTTTTCCAAATGTAGGCAGAGTTTCTGTAATGGATGATTGGTGCCTAAAAATACAGTCAAGTTCCCTTGCCTCCTGTGCTGACACGAATGTGTAATCATTCAGCTGAGGAAAAAAAAAGTAACATTAAGATACCAGCAAATGCTTTTGAAAGCTAGAGTTTGCAGCAGGGGAGAAGCACTGCTGATAAAAGTGGCCTACTTTAGTTCGGCTTCTAGAATTTGATTTCCTTTCACCACTAATTAATCCTCAGATTAATTAAATTCTGTAAGCATTGGTGGCAAAAAAGAAAAACAAACTTGCCTTCAGTGGAAACTAGAGTTTGACACTGATTTTTTTTTTTTTTTTTTTCTTCATCCTCTCCTCCTCATTTCTTCCTTTTCCTTTTCTCTTTTAATTCAGATATTTCATTTGGAAGATGGTAGCCAACTAGTAACGTTTGAAGGAAACCGAAACTGCTGCATACATGGATGCAATAATTTTAGAAAATTGCATAGTGTTCAGAGGCAGTTATGTACTTCTTAAAGAAAAAAGCATCAACTTGCTCAGGAGTGGTGTCCTGCTTAGATAACTTTATACTGTACATTTGAGCGTGGCTTGGGGAAATGAATTTAGGAGGGACCTACATGGCTGGTTCTCCAGTGGCGTGTTCAAATCAACCCCATCCCACAGAGGAGTGTGGGCACCTATTGCCCGTCAGGTGCACTGACAACTCTTCATAACTTGTGAAGGTATGGTCCGTGTCTTAGGGCTTCAGACCACACAGTTTTGAAATGGGAGCTCAGTGGATTGGGTCAATTAAGCAGTGCATTTCTATGTAAGCATTCCCTGGCACAATTTCTTTACCTTATTTTTCTTGCAAAAAAAGGTGAATAATTGACCATGCACTTGAATTGCTAACGTTTGTTGAAACAATTTTTTTTAGTCAACTTTTTTTTAAGCTACCCTAATTTTCAGCCTACTCTTTGTACTTGGCTGTGGATAAATACAGAAAATTTACTTGTTAACATTTGCTATTCTCATTCAGAATATCTAGAGATGTCAAAATCTGTAGTTACTTTGAAGCTTTTAATTTTAAGGCACTTCATTTAGCTGTTTGATAAGTATGTTTTCCCCTTTCTAAGTACTTTCCACTGTCACATCCAGATTAAGTACAGAAATTGAAAACTTTTCCTTTGAGTATATCCATAATTTTCTTTTCCATATAATATTTTGAATCTGGATGATATGGAAGCGTGTGTTTTATGCTTGCTTTATTGGACTGAGGTGTAATCTAACTGCCCTATTTAATTCCATATTTACATCAATTATGAAATGAAAACCTGTTGTGCTAGCAGTTTGCATCTGCAAAAGATTTTCAGAAAGAGTCAAGAACAGCTCTAGCAGAGCCTTTGTGACAATAGAATCCACGTGCTGTGATTAATAATATTTTTAGGACAGTTATGTACATCAGTTGCCTCCAGTACTTGCATGAAAACAAAGAAAAAAGAGTCAGAATCTGAAAAAGCACAGCAGGATACTTTAGTTGCTACTGAACATTTGCCAAAAGAAAGTATGGTTATAGCAATGCTAAACTCACTAAGAATCTAATTAGAATTACCTGTGAAAATCGGCATGCAACTTTTCAGAGTCTTCTTTGTGGGACTTCAGGTATTTTTAAATTTTTCCAGCCTGTTCTTATGAGGCTGTGACAAGTGGAGCTGACTGCACATTCAGCATAGTTCACTCAATTCAATTACATGCATGGTGTCTATTGTACATTAGAACATACCTAGCTTTAACAATGATTTAAATTAGTTTTCTTTATTACAAAAGCACATAAAAGACAAGAGAACTTGCACTTTATGATTTTGTTTTGTAGTATGTGATTGTTATGTATAAGATGTCACAGAATCCAAATTACGTTGCTGGGTGAAGATATTTTTGTAAGGTAATTTTTCTCGAGATGCTAAAGCAAATAATGCATCTCTTGCTAAAGCATCCGTTGAGTATTGCATGGGCTCCTTACCATCTGAGCAGCCAAACTGCAGATCAGTAATTGCAGTAGAAGGAATAACTAACAAATCAAGACTCAAATAATCTAGCAGTCTTTTTTGTCTTCTTGTATCTTAAGATACAGCTGAACTCATCTGCATACTGAATTTGTCCTTTATTACTTAGAGAAATGACATATTGAACTGTGGTGAAACTGAGATCTGAAGGAAAAAAAAAGTTTGGCATTCTTGTAAGAGTGTGTTATAAGGAAAAATGAAGTAGGTAAACTCAATTGAATTCCATCTGCTGCTGAATGGGTCAAGTCTGTATAAATATTGATTAGAAGTGTAGCATGTGGTTATTATGCAGTTTTGTAGCCTATGTAAGTTTTTGTACACTGCTATAATTGCTTTCTCTATGACAGATGTCCTTTGACAGGAGAAACTTGCATAATTTTGTACCTAATTAATCAGGATGCGTTTCTAACATCTAGGTGTTTTGTTACTGGGAAAATCACAATAAACAAGTTTGTGACATTAAGTTGACCTCTTTAATCTGTATCTTAAGATTTTCTTTTAATTCATATTATTAAAGATATTTGAATGTACAGTTAAAACAATTTGAGCAGAACTAACTTATATAAATGCTCAGTAACCCCAAGAGAAATTTTGCTGTGGTTAGTTTTCCAGTTCTAATTAGCCAGGTTTATGTGCTTTGAAAATAAATGGAAGAATTTCCATTTGATTTATGCTTCAGGTAACCCTAAAGAATTGAGAGCATGCTTTGCCTTGTTCTACTTACCATTGGTTTTTAACGTGCATTGTAGCTTGATATTTTGTCTGGTCATCAACATGCTTACAAGCCTGGTATTAATGACATAATGAGTGCTAAATAGACCTGATGTTTGTGAAGATGATGTGACTCTCAATTTTGAGAATACTTAACATTAGGAGAGCTTTAAAGGCTGCAGTCACCTTATTAAGGAAGGAGTTCAGGAATGGCCTTTGGTCATTCTCAGCATGCCTCCTTGCATTTAAGAGTGAAAAGAGAGATGATAATGTTGTGCCTGGACTTGTCCATGTAGACTTTAGGATACCCTGGGGTTTTTGCATCTAACTGTAAAACAGGCTCTAACATGCTTATCCCTGATTTTCTTGTTTTTCTTTCAACCATTTCAGAGCCCTGCAGGAGTCATTAAATCAAAACTTCATGCTGATCATCACCCATCGAGAAGTCCAGCGGGAGTACAACCTCAACTTCTCAGGAAGCAGTACCATTCAGGAGGTGAGTGCTGTTTCACAGCTGAAGAATAAATGTAGCTCATTATAGCTAATGCCAGCTCTGTTAAAGACAGTTTCACATGGTCTTGTTGGAAACTCCTTTGTTTTATTAGTCGTCTTTTTAGTTTAAGCAATTCGCTCATCAAGATTACCGTAGTTTGATCAAAGAACAAAAAGTTTTCTGTTATGTTTCACAGGAAAGATGCTACTTTTTACATGATAATAACAAAAGATGTGTGCAGCATTTACTGAGTTCTTCCATAGGGATGAGAAAAGACATTTTATTTTTAAGCCCTTTGAATCTGTTGCTATCTACTCTTCTTGTAATTGGCTCCATCTTCATTTTATAGTCACCTCTGCTATTTCTGGTTGTTACTGTAGTGCTCCAGTTCTTACAGACTTGGTAGTCTTATGGTTTCTTTATACAATGGATGTCACTGCTGTTCTGTAGAATGGCCAGCAAGGGGTGATATTGTAGAGAACTTCTTCAAAATTAAAACCTTTAGGAGCAACTATCTGTGAATCTGGACCTTCTGAATTCAGAACAAGGAGTTGCTGCTTATTTGTAGAAATTCCTTTCTAAGTGAAAGGTTCTTTTTCTAATGCTTCATGGTGTTTCTAACGCCACGTGTTTTGGATGTTACTTTCCGTATAACCCAGTAACTTCTGGAAATATCACAAACAATACAGAAGTGGGAATCTTAAGAATTCATATTATGAAATATTAAGATTAAACGTTTGCTTTTATCATGAAATGTGTACTTGCTGTTGATCTGACACTTCCCTCAATCTTCCAGTGTTAAACACATTTTTTGGAAGTGTTTCATTTGATAAGGTGGCAGAATTATGTTAAGTCCAACAATATTAGCTATTAGAGCATTATCAGAGCAACAGTGAGAAGTAATTACCAACTGTTTTCATTCTGAATCTTGTTATTCTAAAGATGTAAATTTTAATTTTCCTCTGTGAAAGCCTGTTTCCTGTTTTAATTTTTTTTAACCTTCTGTAGTAAGTTTTGTTGTTTTTTTTTTTAATACAAGCACACAAATCTAGTTGCAGCAGTTTGTTTCTTTGAGGAGTCAAGCATTAGTCTTTAAAATTAGAATCAGTTGTTTTAATAATTTATTCCCATAAATCTTCAAATTACTTGTAGTTTCAAATAGTGAGATCCTGAAAGCAATCACACTTGCTTGCGTGTTGCCAGTTTATTTGTTTACTTTTACCTATGCTGTATGAATTACTGGTTTACTGGTACGTTTTATCAGACTTAAAGGTCCCAAAAAGCTGTGATAATGCATGGGAATTTAGGCTTTTCTGTTTACAGTCAACATGTTATCAGATAGACTCAGCTTGATTTATGAGTGAGTTATAATTTTCTCCCCTAAGGAAGCCAAAAAACCCACATACACCTACAATCTCATACCCATATTAGTATGAAGTACCAAACCTTTATTTGCCTTGTTTTTCTGTGTCTAAGCGTTACATCCAGTAGAGTGTATAAAATTATGAAGATAATTTCAAAGCTAAATGAAAAAAGAATGCTGGACTTTCTTGTGCTATGGATGGTGAACAGGTGAATATGTCTGTGCAAAGTCTTGTGGAAATCCCTGGGGACTTAGCTGAGACGAAATAATTGGTGAACATTTGTCTAATTATTGAAAACAAGCACTATTTTATATGTTAACTCTCTGATGACCTTGTAATTTTTTTTTCCTTTTAGATCGTAGGGATCGTAGGTTGTAATGAATGACTGATGAATTCACTTACTTTATGTGATTTGGAGGAGTTGGTGGTATCTTTCCTTCTTTTCTCTTACGTATTTCAGTCCTTTTAAGTGTCTGTCAGATTTTCTTTTTCCTTTTCTCTCTCATTTGCCCTTTAATAAATTGTTTACTTCTGTTATGTTTTTGTGATCATGGAAAGCTTCATGAAAGTTGCAGCTGCCAACCACAAGAGGGCAGGAAGGACTATTCAATTATTACCTAAAAATACCACTCAGTGTTTTCAAATTAGCTGCTGGTATATTAACAAAAAGGAGTATAATGGCCAAGTTATTGTTTGATTTACAGATAATTGGCATATTGCAGGGAGGAGACTTAATTTCACCCTTTTAAATTAAACAGGGAGATTTGAAAAGACATAAAATATTCATTAATGTTCAGTGATTATAAAGCAGTGGCATATATTTATTCTACCTTTATTACTGTTTCGATGGGAAAATACTGCAAATATTTCAGAAATCGAGTTGGCCATACTGACAAGTTGAAATGTTTAAGCAGTGTTAATGCAATCTTCTCACATGGTATATCCTATGCAGAAAGATTCAAAATGACTACATCAATTATTAAAAGAAAAATTTTAAATTCTGAAAATGTTCTATTGTTTGCCACAGTTGGGTGCAACTGTCTCTGTAGGGCTGTTTGTTTGGCTTGTTGTTATCTATACTGTAAAATTTGGAGTGCTAATAGTATTTTTTCCAGGTGTTTCCAATAATAATAAAAAAAAAAACTACCACCCTTTGAAAACTATCAAAGATTATGGCAAAGAATTAAATGCAAAATCCATTGAGGTGTCAGCTCTGGTTTATTAAAACACTGTTGCTTTGGTTTTCTGTGCTCATTGCATCAAATGTGATTGTAAATGATATTTGGGTGACTTGATGTTTCTAAAAAAACAAACCTGATAAGCAACTTACTATTTAATGGGGAAACAAACCAACCAAAAATTCTCTGAGAGGAGCCTTAAGCTCAGATCTCAATACAATTTCTCTTGTTTTAAATCAGTAGCTGGATTTTGGATGGTTCTTAATTTTTTCTTTCCTACGTGTTTTATCGGCATCTTCAGCTCTTCAAATATTAAGATGTAATTTCTCAGTTTTTAGAAAAAGTTTCTATCAGTTATTTTGATGGGGGCTCATCAGCCTGTGGGGCATCATCAGAACTCAAATAAAAATGAAACTGTCAAATTCTCTCTTGTTCTATTTATTGTTTTTCAGTGAGTTGGGCAGGGCAGTTGTTAACTTGGAAAGTTAATGATAGCATGGTGGCCTAAATTGCAAATTAATTTGTGTCGCAAGATTCTGACATCTGTTTGTTCTTGTGGAATTGCAGTATTAAATTAATTCTGGGCAGATACTGTTCTGGGAAATATCATGATTACTTTTTTCCATGATCTGCATTTTTAAAGTGAAAATTAGTAGGGTTTGTGCCAGTTTGAAGACTGTAAATTAATATATTTCCAATGTATTGTATGGTTGAATAAGGGCAGTTATAACAAATTGAACTGCTAATACTTGCAAGACTACAGTGAACTTTCCATCTGAATACTTGCTCTTTATTCTGCTAAAATAATTTGTAGAGATTGTCCCTGCTGAAGTATGAGAATTTTTTAATGTTGATTTGACAAGCCATGTGCTAAATATTATAACACTTTGCCACATTAAGCATAAATGATTTCCTGTCTATTTTTATGAAGTCAGTTGGAAATTAAGGTTTCTTCTATATCTCTTTTGCAAGTTGTACTTATTATTTGATAGAGGAGAAGGACTTCCCTTTGCATAGGGATAATATCTAAATAATGGAAAGCGAGTTTTTGTTCTCATCTTGAAGTATACACAAACTAATTTGCAGAAAACTCTCTGTCACAAAAGCATGCTTCAAACTTCGTGTTAAGTCAGTGACACGGGGGAAAGTCTCAAAAAAATCTTAAACTGGGTGTCTCCATCAAAAAGAGTGAGCATTTGTCTGTTTTACTGCTGGTAGAGACTTTGAAGCCTTTTTTGTTATTCCTGTGTGCTGGATTACTGAAGTATCCAATGTACGCAGTCTGTGGCTGCTAAAGGATGGATAAATTGGCAGAATGTTGGACCTCTTGTAAATCAGTGCATTTTTTCTTGAAGTGTCCAGTTGAGAATACTGGGAGAAGCATGTACCAGGTACTGTAATTCCTAGTAAAGCATAAAATCTGTGCAAACAATGCAAAGGTGCGTCTCTGAAATACAGGCTGCCTTTGCATGGCTGCATTTGCTATTTATGCCGTTCCTTTAGCCAATAAAGCAATCAGAGGCTAGCATCGTAGCATCCTGTCACCTGTGATAGGTAATATATTTGTTCTTTGTTCCCTATAGACTTACTGGCTAATGTGGAATATGAAAAGCAATGTATCCAATAGCCCTGCAGGCAGGAGGAGGAACTGTGTGTACATAGAGCGGCTTGTGATCAGAAGAGCTAGAAATTCTGTGCTGCCAGACACTAATGATAGTTTGGATTGATTTTTTTTTAAACTATTTTAGGGAAGTTGATGAATGCGAAACAAGATTTGAAAACTCTGTGAATGTTTATGCAGGCAGAAACCTTATTTAAAAGGTTTGAATAATTGTAATATGTAAATATAGATAAGCAGATGAATTACTTTCAATACAGAAAAAGATTTCCATTGAGAGCTTTGTGTGTTTTTCAGATCAGATTTTTGATATTTGTACAAAATATTTTCAAACTTATTATTGTGAGATCGCCCATAGTAAAGGTCAGACACTGACAGGGGGCACAACACGTATGTGTAGATCGTGTTCTTTGTAACTAATTGCAGTAGAATACATTTGCCAAAGATGCTAATATGAGCATCTCCAAATATTGTACATATATGAGAAGTTGTCAGATTTTTGGGCTGTTTAATTGTTTTAAAGTAGTTACACTTTTCTTAGGTGAGTAAAAACCAGCAGTTAGCAGATCTTTTTTTTATATGCAAAGGTGCACAAGCATGCTGTACTGTTGTTCTCTTTCTATCAGAGAAACCAGCAGAATATGTTGTGGCTATACATATTCAAGTTCCTTTTTGTGAAAATTGTATGGTGGTGTTTTGTGTTGTTTTTTTTGTTTGTTTGTTTTTTGCTGTTTAAAGCAATTTGTCAGGTAAAAATTCTATTGAATTTATTGTGAGTAATGAGAACGGTAAATGGAATTTGAACATCTATTGCTGCAGCAGCCTTGCTGTTCTGCTATGGGG